CAGACAAGGCTGTCCATTAAAAGAGATTTTTTATAAGGATTTAAAAATACAATTTTCCAATATTTCTTGCTACTTTTGGGTTATTTCATTGTTCATCATAGTACTCAATTTGGTTTGAATATATATATATATATATATATTACATACGTATTGATGTATGTGTGCATATATAATTCTTCTTTATTTTCTCATGATCTCCTGTAGAGTTGGGTCAGCAAACTTGTACTCCTGACCTTGTGTAGTTAAGAAACAGTAAGACAAAGCAAAGGAAAACCTCACAATATTATATGTCTAGGGATGTGGTTCACTGGAAATGTACTTGTCTAGCCTGGACAAAGATCTGGGTTTGATCACCCAACCAAGCATGATGGTACATGGTTGTAATTCTTACACTTGGTGGGGGAGGCAGAAACAGGAGACTTAGATATTAAAGGGCATCCTCAGCTACATAGCAAGTTCAGGGCAGCCTAGGACACGTGAGACCCTGTCTCAGATAATAATAACAACAGCATCTTGTCTTCAGCTGCTCACCATCACCAAGTTTGTAACCCATGTATCCTGTCGTGTTGGACAGGGCTGGTTACTCTTTGGAGAAGAAGCTGGAGGTCTCCCCTAAGGGTTGGGTGTAGAGCCAGCCCACACCACCATCCATCCCTACCTGAACCATTAGAAGTGCCAAAGGTCACTAGGTGTGAAGCAGGGATGGTGTCAGTCAGCAGGGACATTTTCTGCCTCTCCACATTTCTCCCTGCTTCCCTGTGCAGCACCGCCAGCTGCCTCTGCGCCCGCCGTGTCAGGATTAAAATAGCTCCGGCTTGGTGACTTCACTGGTTCTCACACACGGGCCAGTTGGCAGAAGGCAAATGCTGCCTGCTCCTGAGGTGAAGGTTTTCTTTTTGGTTGTTTGTCTCTTCCCATATTACCCCCTAATATGAATACTTGGTTTCATTTTGACTCTGAAAGACACTTCCTTTCTGAGGTTCAGTTCAGCACAAACGCCACGCAAATCTCTCCAAATACCTTTAAAGGGCTCAAGCTAAAAGGAGGTCACTGGAAGGCAACACTGAGCATCCAGAGTGTATTATAATTTCTGAGGTGAAACTTCAAGGACAACGAAACCACCGGGTAAGTTAACCTTACATAACACATCAACATTTCGTTTATTAGAGGGCCAGATACCTACATTAAAAATACTAGCGATGCTTGATAATCAGCCACAATTTTTAATGTCTTATTTCTCATGCGTTCTCTGGTACCACAAGTGAAGATGTCAACACAAAGTACAAAGATCCGATCAGAGTAAGATGGCAGAGGGCTTTAGAGGATCCCTTTTCACTATCCCAGCTCAGGTAAACTGTAAAACTGAAAGGGGAATTGGCATACAGCATTCATGTAATGAAAACAGCACACTCCGCAATCAAAGAGCCGAGTCTTATCTTAGCCTTTAGAATATTAGCGTTTTCTGCTTCCTTTTAAAACACACCACATATTAGTAAGAGAATATTCTACCAAAAAGCAAGCCTTTCTTATTATGTTCCAGACTAATAACTCAGTGCCGTGTCCGCACCGCATTTTGAGTCAAAGAGAGCATTTAGATTAACTGCATCAGTGCCCTATGGACACGAGATTTATATGCGGAGAGAAGACTTCCATATGACTCTGGGGAGATGGAGCTAATGAAAGAATGTGGTTCACTGGCTAAGGATGGCCGCTCTGAAAGGGTACAATCGCCGTCCCTAAGCGTGGAAGAAAGTCACCATTATTGTCTTCACAGCACATCCCCATTCTTCTCCGCTATCCTTGGATCCTGAGCATCTAAGCAGTGACGGCCCCTTAGAGCCACCGTGATGAGAAGCCATCTTACCCCGCCTATGCCAATCAAGACATCACGGAACTTTGCCGTTAACTGCGAAAACATCTAGACGACAGGGCATTTTAAAATGTCCGACCACGATGTATTCATTACGCAAGCATGTGCTGAATATCTCATGTGCCGTGAGAACGGTGGATGTACTGTCCACAGGGATAAAGTGGGTACCAAAAATGGCCTTTCAGAACTTCACCTAGGACCTGAAAAGATATGGTTCGGTCTGTGAAGTGCAAGCTGCCCAAGCCTGAGAACCTGAGCTCAATGGCCAGAACTCATGTCAAAATTCCAGGCATGATTTCCAACCCTGGGAGGTGGGGAGAGGCTGACCAGCCAGTCGGCACAGACTACTCAGAGGCACAGACCAGTGAGAGACCCGGTCTCAAGAAACAACTGGGATGCTGTGATGGTCTGAAGGAGAATGGCCCCCATAGGGAGTGGCACTATTTATTAGGAGGTGTGGCTTTGATGGAAGAAGTGTGTCAATGTGGGGTCAGGCTTTGAGGCCTCTTTTGCTCAAGCTTTCCTCAGTGTGGCCATCAATCGACTTCCTGTGGCCTGTAAGCCAAGATATAGCCAGTACCACGTCTGCCTGCATGCCGCCATGCTCCCTGGCATGATGATGAAGGACTAAACGTTTGAAATATAAGTGAGCCACCTCAATTAAATATTATCTTTATAAGAATTGTTACGGTCGTGGTGTCTCTTCACAGCAATAGCATACCCTAACTATGACAGATGGCTTCTAAGTATTTATACCCAAGGTCCACCTCTGATATTCTCACACTTGCACATACAAGTGTGTCACAGACAAGACACACAGACAAAGAGACAATGAATTTAACTGAGTCCTTCCTTTAGTGAAGCACTGTACAGCTGCATAGCTTTAGCTCTGTGACTGCTGCCATCATAGTATGTGTGTGAGCCAGAGGTCAGTCTTTTCCTCTATCCCTTTCCATCTTATTATTTGGAAAAGGCTCTCTCACTGAGACTGGAGCTTGCCAACTGGCTACATTGTTGTCCTTCAAGCTCTGGAGCTCTCTCTGTGCCTGCTGTCTTGCTTCCTGCCATCTTAGGGATACAGACACAGTCCATCACACCCGTCATTTTCTGCTGGTGCTGGAAAACCCAACTGCATGGAACATGCTAGCGTGGTAGGAACTCTGCGATTTTGTTATCCTAGTCTATTGGGATGCTTCGTTTTCATTATCAATTATACTAGATTTAGAATCACCCTGGAAAAATAGTCTCTGGGTGTGTCTATGAGTTTCCAGACTGAGCAAGGAAGACCCCTCCCTGAAAGTAGGTGACTCCCTTCAATGGGGTGGCTTTTCAGAATGAAAGGAAAAGGCAAACAGCACTGGTAGTCATTTTTCATTGCTTCCTGACTTTGAATCCCATGTGACCAAGCATCATATACCCCTGCCTTCATGTTTTCCTACTATGATGGGCTATGTTCCTTTTTAAAATATAAACCAAAATGCCCTTCTTTCCATACGTTGCTTCTTGTAACGCACTTGGTCATAGCAAAGAGAACAGTAATCAGCATACTGATGAAAATAACTGAGAAGAGGTTGGCTATAGTTTTGGAAGAAAGCTCATGAAATTTAAGTTATCATACCTAATTCCAGAAGCTAAAAAAGTGTTGGAGTCAATGTGAGCATTGAAAGTCAACTATAAAATAATATTAAAATAAATCCATTCACACCATGACAGAATAAACTGAGCAATCAGTGATGGTAACTTCAACAAGCATCAAATTTTAGAACTATAAAAGAGCCCCAGCAGACTTAAAAATTTCACCTTTTACTAATAAAACTTACAATAGTTGAGTGGTTCCTAACAAATTACAAAGCCACATAGATAAAAAAAAAATTACATATCAAATTAACACTAAGCTTTATTTACCTTGCCCTTTCCCTGCTATTCCAATTCAGATGCACACATCCATATATGTTATTCTATATCTGATTTCCACTCTAACACACTTATACAGAACTACCCATAAAACTTGTCTCAGACACTTCCAATATTACATTAGTGTCTGCTCCATATACATGCAATTTCCCAACCCACTCCCACATAATATACAACACCCAATATTCTGCTAGTGGTGGAATCATAGGTATACAACTGTATGCATACCCTCCTGTTGGATACATCCACAACTCACAAATATGTTCTTTATTATTCTGTATCTGATTTGTCCATCCATAAATACGTTTGTCATTTATACGTATATTTCTATTGACATATTTCTATTGTACACCTATAAAGAAGCTTAACATATGTTTGTAAAGTAATAAATACAAATGTAACCAAATCATGCATAAAACCACAGGAGCATTATCGCATATTTCAGGTAATTTACCTGGACTTATTTACATCTATGACTTCCCACAGACATGAGGAGTATGAAACCAATGAGAAGTATGGACTCTTGATAGGGATCCAAGTGCACGAAGACTTCTCGTTCTTAGTTCATGCTGAGGATAAGGTGGTGTTGGTATTGTATTCTTTTCACACTGCAGGGTGGGTAAGGGATAGAAACAGAACCCATGGTTAGATCTGTGTCCTTATCCTAGGATGAAATCCCAGTTTCTGCACCCATATGGTACAGGATATGAATGAGCAACAGCGTTTGGGATGCTGGCTACAGAGCATGACCTGAAGAACTGTTTCCCCCTACACGGGAGCTGACAATCCAGGAGTGCTGGATGACTTCTATTGACATAGAAACTGGGATTGTAATGGGGCTCTACAAGCATCAGTGGTAAGACTCTCTGAGGGTTCAGGTATCTTAGACGTAGATCCATTCAGGGAGACCTAGAAAGAAGCTAGAATCTAGCCCTACAGGAGCAGGGAAGAGCATTAACAGATTATGTGTATGGTCAGTAAGGTCTGCGTCCTGCAGAGAAGTCTAAAATGTAAATTTAAAAAAGAAGAAGAAGAAGCAACACCCAATGGCTGCAGTTGCCAACTGTACAGAGTAAATTTCTGGAGTCTACCTAACCATCTAGTCAGTACTGTGGACTTGTGCTTTCTTCTTTAAGCTGCATGTACTATGGGATTAGTCTACTTTTACTTAACAATAAATAATTCTACCTTATCGTTAAGTATGAACATTACCGGCTCATATATGCATTATACGGAAAGGTCTTTTCTGTAGCCAAACCATGAGGCATCATTTTAAGATCCTCTGGGTAATGTTCTCCTTGTCTTAATGAAGATATGTAAACACGAAGTGTAGTGAGGTGTACTAGGCTGAATATGCACATCTTGTGTTTCTTGGGTAAAGATAACTGACAGATACTCACTGGATAAGAGGCCTTTTGTCTTGGAAGGTACTAATCTCTCTGGCCGTGGAAGACTGCTGTAAAGGTCTCTTGAAAATGAGGCATTATTTCTCAAAGTTAAAAGCTCTAGGCAAATATACCACAGGTACTTTGAAGTCCATTTTAAAGAGCTTATTCATTGCCCAAGATGAGGATCAAAAAGAGCAGTCTCTGGGCAGAAGTTTAGGGGACAGAGCAAGCAAGGTCAGCAAGTAGGTGACCACAAACTGCAGTGTGAATCTAAGGTGGTAGTATAATTGACAGGTAGAAACAGGAGGGATATGAGTTCAAGGCCATCTTTGGTTACAAAGCTACTTGACAGGGCTAAATTAGATCCTGTCTCCTCAACAACATTAATAAAAGGGAAAGAGAGCCCTTCAATCAAAAACCACAAGGAAAACTTCTAAGTTTAATGGGCCAACTACAAACTAATAATCAGGCTTGCCAAGAAATAATTTGAGCAACCATGCGAAGTGCTCCAAAGTCAATTAGAAAAAAAATGCTGCTTCATTAAATAAAGGCCAAAAAAAATAAAGTAATATTTTTTTGCAAAATAAAAGAGTATGTGTTTAAAGTAGAATAATGATTTTCTTGATCTTTACAGCAACAAAAACTCTAACTAGAACAGCATCTTTTACTATCGGTCTAACAAATATGCTAGAGGCAACATCCACTTAGTCAGCTGTCTAGATGAAGCAGTGATCTCCAGTCCCTTCTTAAATCATGCTGGCCAATGTGCTTAGAAGGCTTCCAAGGAGGTGGCTCTTTGGGGCAGACTAAAAACCGTTGCTCCCATCAGTGGAGGCTTACCATAATTAAAGTAGTTTTTCTCTTAAATCTGTTTATTAGGTAATACCATATTGTAATGATAGGATTACTAAAACCTGAGAGATAAGAATATGAAAAGTAGCAGAGCATCTATGGGAAAAAAAGATCACGGCTGAGAAATTGCTCGAAGATGAGCCTCCTATAACAGTATTTCTCCTGTTTTGAACAGGGTGTGGATATTTGTAGAACAATAAAAACTAAAGCAATTACAAATAGCTTCGCCTTTACTTCATTTTCAAGAAATGAACCAAGGTACAATTCAGAGGAGATTGATGTTAGTGAAGAATGATAAACACTAGATTCAATTTGCTTTTATGTTACTATGACAAGCATTGACCAAAGGCAACTTGGAAAGGAAGGGGTTCATCTCATCTCGTGGAGTATTGTCTATCATTTAAGAAAACAAGGGAAGAAGCTCAAGGCTGGAACATGGAGATAGAAACTGAAGCATAGACCACAGAGGAATTCTGCTTACTGACTTGCTTAATTTGGTCTCTTACACAACTCAGAACCACCTGCCCAGGGATGAGCCATCCACTCTGCCCAAGACATTACGCCCAGGACTATAGATAGAAAGAATAGCAAGTTAATTTGTTCATGTCCAAGTACAGTCAATCAGTACTGTAAATAAGAGGCAGTGCCAACCATGGAGAAGAACATGCTTTTCTCTGGATTTGGTGGGGTGCCATGACAGTAGCAAGATTTTAGAGGAAACCTAGAGAGAGCCCATGTGAGTCTGAAAAAAGTAGAAAACAAGAACAACATTAAGAAATGTAAAATCAACAGGATTTAGTGGTAGAGAAGAGATAAAAGATATGGGATAAAAATGACAAACACAATCACCAAGTCTGGAGATTTTATATACTTAGGAAATAAAGATAAAGAATGTAGTTGGGACTATGAGTTTGAAATGTTATACATTATATCCATAGGGAAATATGTAACTATCAGTTGACTATCAACATCCAAGCCCCAAGGAGAATGAAGGTGACTATTTAAAATGGAATTGGAGCCTGAAGGCAAAAATGAGCCTGCTCACAGAAGCAAAGCAAAGGGCAAGGGATGGGGAGGGAGACTGGGAAACACCAGTTTTAGAGGCAAGAAAGGAGAACTCACTCCCTCAGCACACACTGGTGTGTAATAGATGGAAAAGAAGCAAGGGATCTCAGAAAAGAGCTTCTAGGGAAAGAGTCAAACAGACATTGCCATGGTAACTTAAGTCACCTGATGTCTATTTGTAGTGGCCCTTTTCCTAATTTTCTACAGTATGCCTAAGGCATTGATAGTCATGGTTTTGATCTTTCTGCTCATATACCCTAGATGAATGTGTGTTCTCCACCAAATTTCTAAGGGGCCTTCCCCTCCAAAGGGATGGCAGGTGAGGCATTGCAATGTGACTGTGTAGTACAGGATTGCGCCCTTTATGAAGGGGATCCTAAAGGTAGGTCTGTAGGTTAGTCGTAGAGAACAGGCAAGGTCCTCCATGAACCCCAAATATGAGAGAGACACAGAGTGAGTGAGAGACACAGGGAAAGGCAGAGATTGACAGGCCCCCCAAGAATTCCTTCAATTTCCTTCTGCCATCTGCAGCCAAGAAAAGGGCCTGTCACAAGAGGACCTGGCCACACTGGGGCTCTGATCTTAAATTAAAAAAAAAAAAAAAAAAACTGAGCCGCAAAGATCTTATAGGACAGTGGATGGGAGGAGAAGAGAGAATGTGGGCAGGAAAGATGGAAGGAGAGAGGAAGCAGCAGCGAGGAAAAGTGTACATGACAAAGAGAAGGAAACTGAGACTTAGTAGTAAATTAGTCAAATGAAAAGCAAGGTCAAGTGTGACATCATGAAAACACAGCAGGCAGCAGTTTGGGAAACCATGGGCCAAGTGTGAGCTAGCAACAGGTGTGAGCACTCAGGTGCTGGGGTTGAGAGCGAGGGGAGGGCCAGCAAGCAGAGAGAAGCTCTTTAAGGAGCTCTCCTTCAGCTGAGGAGAAAGCAGAGAGGAGGGGCCTTTCCTAGTTGAAGGAACAGAGTAAAAGAGGGCTCTTTCAAGTCTATAACAAGAATCTGCCTGGACTACACAGCAAAATCCTGTTTCACAACTAACAGACAGCAAGCTGACAGAGATTCAGACATTTTCATCTGGAGGAAGCCCAGGCGGTAGATCAGAAGCAATGCTGTAAGCAACAGCCTGAGACCTGAAGAACTGGCCCTCCTCAGGGCGAGAAGGGAGGGAGACAGTGCCTGGCGAAGGGAAGGAAGAAAGACTAACTGAAGGAGTAACTGAGGGAGATCCTGGATCCCAGAGAGATGCTCAAGGTGTGATGCTACTCCTTCCTATTGGGGAGCCTTGTTCCTGCAGGGGTGTGGGGTGATTAGGCAGCCCGCTACCCCAGGATTTATAGCAAGTCTGTAACATTTCCTTCATCAATGAGTAAAGGACGCTAGCTCTAGTTTATAGACTCACAGGTGGCAAGGTTATTAATAAGCCAAAGGAGAGGCTGAAGCAATGGCTCAGTGGGTAAGAGCATTTTTTTTTGCAAGTGTGCGCGTGGATCCCAGCATCCACATTAAAAGCTGCCTATGGCCACATCTGCTATTAACCCCAGGGCTGTGGGAAACAAGGAGGTTGGCTGGGACCTGATGGCTGCCGGTCCAGCTCCCATTTCAGTGAGACACCCTATCTCAAAAGGATAAGGCAGAAAATGATAGAGCAGGCCTTCTGCAAGCGTCCTCAGGCCTCCACCCATATGCCATATATGGACTTGTACCCAAATGACACATATATTTACCATATGCAGATACTCTACACACACACTATACTCACACGTAAATAAGTGAATATAAATCAACAACAAGGAAACAGCAGGAGTTCAACAGTCACAAGAAGCAACTCATGCAAGCTATCAATTTAATGTATTCTTACCATGCACATATACACACACATGAAATATAGGCAACAGCAAATAGAACAGAAAATAAAGCATACACCATAACCCTTATGGAACTATGATGCTGATGATAATGTTAGCCATCATATCATACTGTGATAAAGATTATAGTTACTAATTCTCTCAAGCTGGACACCCCTATATAAAAATAACACAAGGTTCATGAGTCTAAACCATGCCAAATAATTGTGGACTCCTAGTTACAACCTGCCCTTACCCCGGGAGCATTTCACTATACCTGAGCAAAATATAAATTTTAAAAAGGGAATTAATCATTATTTTACATGGCTAGTGGGGAATGTTGTCAGCAACAGCCTCAGGCTGTAATCTGTAAGGCTAAACTTTGTTAGAGTTCATTAAGTTTTAATAAGTGGATGAATGATGAGATAAAATGGAACTGACAACAAATAGTTA